CCCCCCACCCTTTGTGTCTTCTGCTCCGGATGAGATAATGAAGCCGCTCGCTTCGGCGATAAAGGCGCGCGGATAAGGAACGCGCGTTCGATTGAGCGTCGCGTGATGTGCGATAACGCAAGGCCTCATATCGCGCGTCTTTGTGCTTGCGTAAGTGATATGCATCGTCGCCGCATTGTCTTTGAAGAAATTACGACGATTTATTTCCCCTTGGCGCACAGCCTTAAACGGAGCTTTCGAGCGGCGCGCTCGTCGCGCTTTCTCGCGAATGAGGGTTGCTCCCGCAATATTTCATCGCGAAAAATTCAGATCGCGGTTCTCGATGATATTGAATCGAATATACAAGGTGAGGCGGTACAACTATTTTGCTCGCTTTACTTTGAACATCTTCTAGGGGAAGAATTTATCCAAGAAATTGCATTGATACCGATTCTCGTCGCTTCGAATCTCTTATTGTAAATGTCAACCTTTCTCATCTTCGTCTAGTCGTTAATGAAATGTTTTTTTTATTTCTCGAAGATATTCAAGATGGCAACAGTTGGTGTCTCATTTTGCGTGAAGAAAGGGTCAATTAAACACAAGTAAACTTGTCCCAAAACGAATAAATTACTGAATGATTTCACGTCGACTTTCCACGTGACGAAAACTCTTTCCCGGGACAGCTGTCGTTAGAAGCTGATTAGACGGAGCGTGATTCACGCCTCTTTCCTCTGTTTTTCTCTATCCTTTTCTTCTCCATCCACTCTTTCTCCTTTGTTTCTCTTGTCGCGAAAAATATCGTGAGCAAGGGCTCAAAGGTCAAGGTACGTTCCTTATCGCAGCCACGATTTCGAGAGTGTTCCACATTCGCGGTTTCAATCTCGCGATTATGAGTGAAGCGAGATCAATTCCTTTCTTTCCTTCCTCCTTCCGTTGGATAATCGCGGCTGAAATAACGGCGGTGTACAAAAGTAAGTTTACTCGTCCGCTCAACGCAGGAAATTCATTGATTCTCGATTATACACGATGCGTCCTCCTATCGATTATCGCCCATTGTTACTGTTTGTCTTCCGATTACGCAGCGGGTGTTTGTTTTCCGGATTTATCGGCATGCGATATCTCGTGTGTATTTTCTTACCCGTCGTACGGATTTTATCCGGCCGACCATTATAATGTAGCGGGAATAATAGCAGCGAAACGTCTCGCGGGGGACGTCGCATTATTATTCGTCGAGGCATCTCGCAACTGGTGTCTCTCGCATCGTGTCGTCTCGCTCTCAATTCGCTATCGAACACACACATGCACTAGGCGCGGCGAATCGATGTTTCGCCAACGACCCGCCTCTCCTCCTCTCCTTCCCGACTCGTCCTTCCTCGGGGGCTTAGCTCTTTAAAGATATTCACGGCGATTCTTTTCAGAGGGACAGGATGATAAGACGAAACTGAGGAAATGTAACGTCGGGCAGCTCGATCGCGAGCAATGCGGTAAGAACGAGAGGTGCCGCGCGAGCGGCACAGATCAGCAAGGGCAGTGCGAGTGTCAGCTCGATTTCCATTCGGTTAATGACAAATGCGTTAGAATCATCCCCACGGCGGTGAACATCGACCTCACGACCGTCAAGCCCGAGTTTAAGCCCGAGTCAGGAGGTACGTCGTGCATGCCGAGGGAAACGTGCACGCTTGAGCCAAAAGCTTAACGAATTTTAACGCCTTGACCGAGAGACCGAAGATCGAAGCATCGCTTTTGCGCTTTAAACGCACTTCCGTTCCATGAAAACGCTGGATGCGCTGTCGCTTGTCGTATGCACGGAGAAAAGGAAGTCTCAATTCGTCGTGTGTCGTGGAACGGACGAGAACTCAGAAACGATATCTCTGTTGTTATCGCGTCTGAACATTCGTGAAAGCTCGGTTGAGAGCAGCTTGGCTGCACTTGGAGACTTCCGGCGGGAATTTGTCCGCTCCCGCAGCAGAGTTTTCGTCCGGCCCGCGGGAAAACCAGTTACACGGAGAATCGAGTTTTCTTTCCCCGCTTTGCACGATCTCGAAACGAGATGATTTTTCTCGAATTTCGAGTACTTACACGCACACAATCGGAAGGCGCACACTTGCCGACTGCTTGCACGGGTTCAGTTTTATTGTTGCCGTCCACCACTCGACGTTATGTTGTGTTCGCTCGTGTCTTGGTTTGCGTTCAGATAACGCCACGTTTCAGCCACGCGCTATTACTCACTCCGCTATTATTCGAAGAGCTGATATGATAATGCAACGGTGAGCGGAAAGAAAACGTGCACGATGCGCTGTCCGTAGCTAAGCGGCAATAGCCGGCGTGTGGCGACTAAAGTGTCAATCAATTTGATTTAGGTAGCTCCGTAGCGGCTGGTCTGCTAATACCGACCTTCCTCGTAGTAGTCGCCGTTTTGCTGTACGTCGGCGCGAGACGGTACAAATGGCTGCAACGATTTCGGCAGTACCGTCACAATCGTTACGGCAATGTCCTAGTCACGAGAGACGACGACGACGACGACGACCCGCCGATAGCGTAAGAGTCGAAAGGGAATGCGAAACACGCGGAACGCAACGCATCGTCCGTTGACGCTGCGATGATTTAAAACGTCGATCTTCCTCGAACGCTTCGCTGCGTGAATTTTGCTCGACACGTGGCGTCGTTGTTCGCGTTTCGCGTCTCGGGAAAGGATCGCAACGTGATTTCACGCGAGCGTCAACGGAGAAGCGCGGTTGCGAGGGAGGCGAAGGGCGAGATGAATCACGAGGCCAAATGCAAAGACGCGCTCGCGCGAGTAGTCACGTCTCTTCGTGAGCGAAACGGATCTCCCGCAGTTTCTCGATTCGTGCGACATTGTGTAACTCTGCTTTCTTTGTTCTCGTCTTGTAAGGAGAGAGATTTTCGCCGTTGGATTTTCGCGCTTTTCCCTTCGATCGGTCGCGCAAAGGCGTCGCTACTCGCGCGGACTGTCGAAACTATATTTATATGTGATGGCAGTAAGGGATGTGGCATAACGAACTGCGTCTCCGACTACGTGTGAGAATCCACACGAGAACATAATTTTTTACATTGATATTAATAAGCTGGTCAGTAAACTTTACGTAATGTTAGCGTAGTGTACGATTCGGTGATCGTTTCTCTCGTCACCACCCTCCTCACTCTGCGCGCGAATTCTAGGGAAACTGTATTAATTTGTACCATAGTAAACCTTTCCTTTGCAGAATGATGCAAAATCCTTCCCTTGCAGTTTTCCTTGGCGGAAATGTTCCACGATACTGGGTCATCCCGTAAGTAATGTGAGTTCTTTTGCTGCAAAAAATTCATAGGAAGGAAAATAGCAAATTGTTCTGAATGCTAGTCAATTGTGTGTTTTTCTTACTTCCTACAACATTGTCCATCCAAAATTATAATTACATTATAATTTTAAATTAAATAGAACTCGCATTACCCTCTAACGGAATGACTCAATATAATATGCTCGACACGCATGTTTGAATCGATCTGGCGTTTTTCGATTAAATTATTTTAGATATTTATAAACGTGTTTTAAATTATTCTTTTTTGGGATTTCGACTTGACTCTCGGTTCGATTGATCATTCGTATCCTGTGTTTCCGTATTTCTTTTTTCCACGTAAAAAATGATTCTTTCTTTCAGATATTCACGAAGTCGAATCGTTCATGGATCCAAATTAGTACTTACCGTTTGCTGTTACAGGTGATGTAACGGAATATTCTAAATTCCATCGAACGTGTGTGTAAATCTGACAGAGTTACCTTTTTGCAAATGCAGGAAATTTGATTGGATGCGATTGCATTTATACCAAACGAACGTCGCGCTTTCTATTGTCTCTTCGATGTTTTCTGTAACATAATGAAATCTGTATATATATATTCTTCGTCACTCGTGAATGCGTAATCTTGCCAGCGACAATTTCTTCCTATAATCTAATCTAATCATGATTCAGGAAGATATATTATCTATATATTGTTTATGATGGACGCACGGGCTTTACGGGTCCGCGAAAGAGAGAGACTAACAAGAGATAAGCTTTCGAGAGTTTTATATATATATATATATATATATATATATANATATATATATATATATATATGTATATGTATATGTATTATATGTACCCTATTCTTGTACTCTATAATTTTTGTACAGAACTACGCGGAGTAGAATCTAACCTAATCATAGTAATTATTCAGTGTATAGTACTGACTCTCTGGTCGTCGTCGATCAGATCGTCGATCGAGATTTCATATTTTTATAGTTCGCGAGTACAAATTTGAGAAACGGCGAGTGGTACTGGCGAATTATTATCGTGTCGATTTTAGTACGGCGGCTATTTCCTCTGCTCAACGCATACGTTCCTGAAATATAGCAAGCACCTGAAATATTGTCCGCTCACGTTGCCACGGTGATGCATTTCTACACTGAGAAACCAATTTACTTGACTCCAACAAAATTATTTCGTCCGTTCTTTTCAGCCGATAAGAACAAACAACTTTTGTTTAGATACGGGCAAATAAATATTTCAGTCATGAGAACCAAATCTCCGATTCGGAGAACCAGATTTTGGTTTTCACAACCCAAAACATTTGTTTGCCCATATCCAAACGAGACTTTTGTTTGAGTCAACTAAGTGGGCCTTTCAGTGTATGATTCGGCCGAATGTCCCAACGATTATTATCGCAGCTGTCGCGGCGTATTAAAGAGCCACAGATATCGGCCACGTGAGCAACACGTTCGCACGTAGTATGTCCCGAATCAGTCTGTTTTTCTCCGGCGAATTAGTTGTCCGCAACGATCGCACAATTTGTGTACGCGTCTCTACGGAGCGCCGTAGCTCGCGATTCTGTGATGTATCTCGCGGTTTATCGATCGACGACGGGACTTACCTCGTCGATCCCCACACGTAGCATCTCCACACGCCGCACGACGAACGACCCTTGGTCCTGGATTGCATTTTCCTCGTGTAAATATTTCTATACATGCTCTGTTGCTGAAAACCAATGTTCGATAATATTCCTGTCGCGCTCCTGCATATATCCGGCATCTCGAGAGAGGCGGCTTGAAAGGCAGCGTTGTTTAAAGGCTATCCGGAAGACAAAGCAGATTGCCGCTTGAAAGTACGAAGCTATTCCGTTGTCTTCGCGGCCGCAGGATGATTTCTCCCGATCTGATCTTGCAACACACGTTTTATGAATGTTTCTTCTAGCATCGAGATATATTTCGTTGTGTAATTTATCTCATTTGTACTATAATAAATAAAGGTCTCTTTAAAAGTTCTGCAGTTGTCAATATCTCAAGTTGTGTGTACGTGTACATATATATATATATATATATATTGTATTCGCCAATTGTGCAGGTTACCGGGGACAAGTAGGAAACGATGAATAACGGCGGGGTAAGTGATACTTTTTTTTCTCTCATTCTTTTATTTCGCACGTAAATATCGACATAGCTTTAAGACAAGATATACGCTCAGGAAGACTTAATCGCTAGTAACGTCTATCAAGATTCGTGACGATGAGACTTAATGTGTACAGTTTCCTTTTTTCCTTTCTAGAGAACCGCGTATGTCGTATTTTTCGAATTGCTATTCAACGAATGTGCATAGAATAGAATCGTACGTTTATTTACAAGTTCGATCGAAATGAAGGGGAAGGAGGGGAAGGAGGAGGAGGAGGAGGAGGATGTATCTTCAGCACCTCGGATACGCCGATGGAAATTCTAATTCCGACGAACGCGTGTTCGGGTATCGCGGTCGGCAGAATTGAAGCGTCGTTACATTGTGTCACGTTTCGTGCATCAATCGGGAGGAAACGTCGAGCTCTCTCGCGGCATCTGATGTGTGCCACAGCGTTTCGCATTCGTCAATAACTAGATTTGCTAATTATTCCGAATTCTTGCCCAGCGAAGTTATCAGAGCGAATGATCGATCGCGATCGTCGTTATCGTTGGACATTCATTGATCCCTTGCCCTTCAATTGCAGCATTCGTGAGTAACCATGAATATCAGGATGACTAACATCTCATTGGTGACACATGTCGCACTTCTGGATCGCGTTTGCTTCCCTGATGGCGCGACGCCACTTTACCATTCACAACAATCTCGTCCCCTCTCTCGTTTTTAACTTTCATCGGATAATTTATCACCTCGGAAGCTCGCGATCGCCCGCGGGCGTTCGCGCGAAACTTACGAATTACCTAGTTGAATTGCGTGTCCGCGGATTATTTCCTACCCTCAGAGCGGCGCGACATCATCCCCGTCGCGCGTTCTTTGGAACGAAAGACACTGATGATTGCAAGGGTTGAAGGGGAGGGGGTGGGCTGCGAGTGTCGAGCGCGACGTCCGTTCGCGGAAAGCCAGTTTCATAAGAGAACGAATATGTAAAATAAGCCCGAGTGTCTTTCATGAAAGTGTCTTTCCTGAGTGTCGATCAGGTGGCAGTGTACAGAAATTAGTCGCTTCGTGCTCGTGATCAAGCGAGAGCCTATCCGAAATTGAGACCGATGATACACACGCGCGCTCCCGTGATCGCTCCGCGAGGATCTTCGATCGCTCCCTCGTACCCTCTGAATCTCTTGGAGTGAACCTCCTCCTCCCCTCCGAAAGGTGGAATGACAGTCGAGTCATTCAAATGCGAGTGACTCCTCACTCGTACGGAATGAATTCTCCCCACGGAATCGTCGAGTGAACATTTTCGTCCGAAATTCAACTGCGAATCCGACGTACTCCGCCTTCGTAGGAATATAAATTCACCCCGATCGACCTTCACTTTTGCGATCCCGAGTGACGATGTCTTCACTATCGCTTCGAATGAGTGTTCACTCGTTTCGAGGGAGATCTCGCTCCAAGGGATTCGGAGAGCGCATCGTAACGTCGTGATACCATCCGAGTGCATATCTCTCTCTCTCTCATCAATACGCGGGATAATCCTGCCATGTTCTCTGCTGTCTGTATTGCGTCCCGCTGATCTGTACATTCTCCGGCGTCCTGTAATACACCGTGCGACCTCGGTCGTTGTTGTTGACGCTCGTCGGCAGGAACTGAGGACTCGGCAGGAACGGTTTCTGTTGCTGCTGATTAACCGGCCTGGTGAGCTTGTAGTTGTTCTCGGAAGGCTGCAGGACGGCGTCTCGAGTCGACGGTTGTCTGTGCAGAGGCAGAACGAATCCGCTCGGCAGATTGGCTTCCTGAATCAGGGTGGGCGTCAGAGCGTCGTTCAACGTGACGTCGTACTCGCTCTCGGGTATGTCCTGAAGCCGATGCGTCACCTCGTTGATCCTCTGCTTCACCCGGTAGCTACCTGGGCCGGACGGCAGGTCTTGGATGTCTTCGCTCTTGTACGTCGAGCTGTAGATGTTGGGCGTCTCGGTGGAGGGGATTCGGGCCTTGCCGCGGGTCTGCACGTTGGCGGCGTTCGCGTGCTTCTCGCTCGAGTAGTTCTCGATCCACTTCGGCTCGAGGTTCTCGGTCTGATGCCGCGAGTCGTACGACTGGTTCTGCGTGGAGGATCCCCGCGACGAGTTCGAGAGGTTCTCCGGACCCCTCGAGACCTCCTCTTCCTCTTCCTCCACCTGCTCCTCCTCCTCGTTGTTCTTCTCGATCGGTCTTCGCAGCGCCGGTCGGGATATCGCGGTGTCGTACTCATCCTGCCGTTGCTTCTTCTGCAGATCGCTCTGGATGGCCTTGTAGGCGTCGTACGTCTGCTTGTTGCTCTCCTGCGTCTTCACACGTGCCTCCTGATCGGTGTCTCTAATGTCCTCTTGGATCTCCTCCTGCACGTAGTAAACCTTGTCCTCTTCCAGAGTACCGGTCGTCACCTCCTCGTCCCTTCTGGGCGACTGCGGCGCTTTCGAGCCAACGGACGATAATCCCCTCGGATTAGGATTTCCACCCCGGGACGGTAAGAACGGTCTCTTCACGATCCGTACGGTGGTTCGAGGTGGCGGAGGAGACGGCGGCGGTTCTTCCAACGGCTCGTCGTAGTACTCCGAGGAGTACTCGTCGGACGGGACCTGATACTGAGGCTGCTCGTTTCGACCGTCCAAGTCTCTGTCTTGGTAATCCGTCTGCTGGGAGGTTCTCTGAGGCTTCTCGGACAGATTTCTCTGATAATCCTGGCCGTCGGCCGCTACGACGCGACCGCTTTGAGCCTGAGTAGGTCTAGTTGGTCGTTCCGGGTAAGAAGGCTTCTCCGTACGATCGGTCACCGCCTCCCTCGAGTCCGCTTCGGACTTGTGGACGAGTTGTTCCGGCAGGCAGGTCGTGGTGGTGGTGGTGGTGCTCGTCTTCTCGGTCGTTCGGTCGTACGAGCTCGGTCTGCGAGATGCTTCGGTGCTGTCCGATGAATCCTTCGCTCTCGAGGACGTTCGCGATCGCTCGGCGTCTCTGTCGCGATCGAGAACTCTCGATGAGTACGGTCGCTCCTGCCTGTCGGAATCTTGCGACCTGCCCCGATCCAAGGATCTCTCCGGATCCTGCGACCGTCCTCGATCGCGATCAGACGGCCTCTCGGCGTCCTGCGATCGTCCTCGCTCGCGATCTTTGCCGCGATCGAGAGCGCGGTCTCTGCTACCTCGGTCCCTCTCTCGATCGTAGTAACGATCCCTCGAGCGATCCTGATGCGTCCTGAGTCGTACCTCTTCCGGCGATGAGTGATAACGGTTTCTGAAAGATCGATTATTCCGCGACATTAATCGGCATTGATTGAGTCCACGATGAATATGGGATTGATGGTTGCGTTATGTGTCGGTGTTCGATCGATTGTTTTGTTCATACTGAATTTATCAATTTCCTCCCGGCTATTTGCATTCTGCGTATATATCATGGATGGTATTTGCACGTAGCAGAGCTGCACGTGCGTACGACAGGTTAAATTCGAAGTGTTCTCACAGCGATTATCTTACTAATACTGTTCTGGATGTTATTATTAGAATGATGCGAGACGGTCGAATCATCTATTATCGATTCAAGCCTAAATAGAAAGGTGTGCATATGTAATCCAACTAATGGCACAATCGTTGAATACTAAATGTAGTATCGCTCATTAATATGCGTATGTATGCGATTAGTTCATCGAGCATAACCGTATCAGTGTTGTGTACGTTACCTTACCTGAGGGGACGATCCCTGTCCCGAGTATCGTAAAAGTCCCTGTCTCTCTCCCTGTACGAGGGTCTTCTACGGATCGGTCTCCTGATCGGCCTGACATCCTCCAACTCGTCGTCGTAGTAATCATCCTCCACCAGATCCGCAGGTCGCCGGCGTGGCTCCTCTTTAATCACAGTTTCAACTTCGTTACCGTCAAAGAGCGGCTCCTGTCGCGGTAACGTTGATCTTACCTGTCGGTTGTGCGGGAGTAGTTTTATACGCATATCTGTCTTGCTCCGACAGCGGCACGGGTCGTCGAATCTTCGGCGGCGCCCTCGGCCTCGCGTACACCGAGCTGATGGGTGCTGCCGGTTTCACCAGGCCATCCGCAGTTGCGCTCGCCGACGGCGCCGCGAACTCCTTATCGTCGTAATCGTCGCGAAATCTGAAGATAAACGAAGCCCGCGCGTGTCAAATTTCAATCGAAATTAAGTTAAAATCCAATTGAAATTGCGAGAAATTCAATGATACATTTCTCATTTATTTGTTGAAAAGTAAATTCCTATATTGTTTACGGAAATTTACTTATCGTAAATGAATAAGGAAATAAATTTATTTCGAATTTATTTGTTGCTTGAGCAATAGAAAAGTTAGATAAAAGTTGAGTTAAAATTAATTTGTTAAAGTTAACAATTAATCGTGCAAAACTATGTACATATAAGAATAATAAATATTTAGAAGAAGAACAGAAGAAGTTAAGTTTATACATACAGTTTCGCAAAATTAACTTGAGTTAATTAACCCAGACCCGGTTTTATCTCTGGAGAGATCTTCGTCATTCGGCTATTGTTCGCATGATCGATAAGCCAACGACGATATTCTCACCTCTTATCGGAGTATCTTCGCTCGTCGGTGTCCCTGTTCCTCGCTTCCGTACGTCTGTCGTACACGTCCGCGTCGTCCACCTCCCTCGACGTAGATCTGATACCCTGATCGGGGTTCCTGCCGCGGGGTCTCACGTCGTCCTCCAGCGGGTCCCTCGACCTGGACGGCTCTCTTCTGTTGCCCCTGCCCGAGTACCTGTCTCGATCCCTATCGTCTCTACCGGACCCTTCTCTGCCGCGCTCCCTGTCCCGGAAGTCACGATCACGGTCTCGATCCCGGAACTCTCGGTCCCTGTCCCTCCTGTACTTCCGTTCGTCGTACTCGTAATCGTCCCTGCCGGCGAAGTCTCTCGACGGTCTGCTGTACTCGTCGTCGTAGTAGTCCTCCTCGTAATAGTCGTAAGGTCTCCTTCGCGCCGGTGGTCGCCTCCTGGGTGGTATTCTGTCGCGTGACCGGCTGGTCAGCACAGTGACCGGCGCGACGGTGGTCGTAGTGGTGGTGGTGGTAGTGGTCACTTGGTACAGGGCGTCGTTCCTGTGCCAGTACTTCTTGGAGTTGGCGCAGTCGACCTCGGAGACGAAATGGCAGATGAAGGTCTTCTGGTCGAACGCCGTGAAGTTGGCGCACAGGAAGTCGTAGCGAGTGCCGAAGAGGCAGTGATGGTAGACCTTGAGAAAGGCATGAGGGTAAGAGAGACGGCATTAGCGACGACGCTCGTTAGCCGCCGAATGAACCGGGCGGTTTCGATCGATGGGTGAAAGCGGCCCGACCGCCGAACTTTCGACGAATCTCGGCCGGCTCTAATCTCGCTGCGATTGCCTTCTCGTAACCGGCGGGATGTAACGCGCCGACGACATGACGATTTTAGCACACTTTTCACCGAACGAACGATCCTTGCCGCACGCGCAGCTTTCACGCTCACGGCGGCTGCGTGTGCGAGTAATTGCGCCGCATTGTGGCGCTGCTCCGGCTCTCTGTATGTATGAGGGAGCCCCCTATGTTTTCTGGAACGCCGTAGAGACGCGGAGTTATCCGGGGGGGGAGTATCTAGAATCATTCAGAGCACATCCTTTCGGTAAGCCAACGCGCTCGTTTCACCGGGAACCAACCGTCGGCCGCTCTTCCAATAATAGATCATGAATCTTACTCAACTCGTCATCTTAAATGTCAGACGATCATCGAAGCGCCTAATCGCGCGCTTCTAACGATCCTCACGTACGCGCAGAGGAGTACAGTCATTAGGACATCTGTTTGCGCGCATCCTTGCCCCGATTGTTCTCCGACACGTCGTCCTACGAATACATCTCATTCGTTCGCGACGCTCTAACGATCGAGATTTTTCTCCTCGGTCTTCTCTTCCGAAGAGATCGGCGATTTCGACTCGCTGAAGAATTTACGGTGGAAAGTCGGCGAGAAAGACACTCTCGGTACACTTCCTTCACTACCTGCCGCCGGATACCGGAAAACAAATCGCGGGTCATTTGCATGAGAACCGGCGCTGGAATTATTCAGAACGCGTCTTTCTTTATTTCACGCCCGGCGTCCTGGCGCTTCCGTGCCGTCGTCGCCGGGTGTCGACGTCCCCGTCGCTGAATTTACGGCTGGCTCCGCGTTATCGCGCCCCGTAAAACGTTACATAGCCGCATCGATCGGATGCATTAATTACAATTGTAAATTCCGCGAGGAAGGGGGAGTGTCAGGATCACGGGCGATTTCCCGGCGGGAAGCCGGCCGGGTTAATCGCTCATTTCCCAATTTCTCTTCCGCGCGACAATTAACCTTCCCGCGCGTGCCGTGACGTAAAGAGCCGCCTTTTCGGCCTTTCGCGACACGCGCGCAGCCTCTCTCGGGCCCCGATATTTGCATGACAATGCCTCCATTCGCTCTGCAGCCCCGTGAAAACGATCGATAAGCGGCGGCTCGGAAAGGGGCTACTTTGCAATCGCTTTCACAACTCCAGGATTCGCGCGCGTGAGTCGCGGAACGGTCAGGGACGGACCAAGAAAGTCTTCTTCCTCCGGTTGGTTCTTTCCACCTTGCGCACGGCGACCTTGTTGTCGTTACCGCCGGCGAAAGATTCTTTTTCTTCTTCACTTTCGATATCGATTTCTCGAACTCGAGTGCGCTCGCTCCGCACCGCTGCGGCCGACGCGATAATGGAAGATTAATGGTGCGAGCACCGATTGTTCGACGGTCCTTCCTCGTGACAACGCCGTTCTCGCCGACGCGATTAGAAATTAGTATCTCGATCGTACGAATAATGGCCGCTCTCCGAGACGCAGTTTCGCGTGCGACGTCACGTCCTCCTCGAATGGGGCTTAATAATCGTGTTAATCAAATATCCGTCCCGTTGAGCTATCCGCAAACCTGTTCAATGATTCCACCGGCGCCTTTAGACACTGTTTGACACTGTTTGACCCCTCTCTCCGCCGAAGCGGCTGTTATTAAATTCAACTGGTCCGCGGCTTGAAATTGATTGCCACATTTGCATCGGCCGCCCTCGTTAAGCGGCGTGTGTATCAAAGATTTCGTTTTCGTGAATACGAATGAGACAATTCCCGTTACTTGTCACGATATTATCGATCCATTTTATCTGAATAAATTTGCATTCTCTATCGATTAGATGATTTATCGCTGACTTACATTCCGTTATTAAAGTTCTTAGTAATTTTGTAGATTTCCCGAATATCTCGGGACGACTGGAACTTAATGTCCCTTCAAGATATTTTAAATGTTCTCCAGTTTGTGCTTTATGTGGAATGCCAAAGGACTTTCTATGCTAATTTAGCCATAAACGGAAGAAATATTTTAGTAGAAATTACCATAAGATTTTGTAATACCGGGCCATACCGGAATTATGACTGAAATTATGATGTGTGTTGTAATGCTTAGTGATTTATATCGTGTGTACACATTACTAAGGAGTACAACACACATCATAATTTCGGTCATAATTAGTTAACAAATATGGTCCAGCGTTAGAAAATACGGTGGTAATTTTTACTACAATATTTTCTCCATGTATCAATAAAGTGCCTTAATCTCCATCTAAAATGGATTTTTTCAACGTAATGTTTTCAAACTTAAAACATTCACATTCGCTGCCATCTTTAACTAATTAATTTTCACATTAATTAATTTATATCATATATATATACTTTTTCCTTTTATATATTTCTTACATCTACTAGTTTGTGTATTTTACTGTTAATTTATAATTTATTTCTGAACGTAACCTCGATTGGATATCCTTTTTTTGTATTCTCATAGATATGAAGCTTATTTTTCCAAAGGATGCTCTCTCCCGTAAATAAATATTACCATTATTATCAATCAAGTTAAAAGTCTCGTCGGTCGGAGTTGCCGGCAACTGCCAGTTACTGTGATCATCAGCTCGAGATCGATCGATGGATCGGTCGATCGATCGACGTAGCCTCGATCGGTGATGCGTGAGACGATATCCGCGGATAGAAATTGTCAGCCCGGAATCAGCGGAATCTCAGTTTTCCTGTGGAAGCACGACATCGAGCTATCTCCGCCGTTTAACGGCGAAACATTGCGTCTCTGATCTCACGCTCGAAGGAGACACACCGGATAATTGTGACGCGTGTAATTACACGCTCCTATCATCGTTCGATCGCAATCGCGGTGTCCGCGCAGGATTTCTCGATCGGCCGTCGTTTTCACGAGACCGAGCCCCACGCCGCGGCCGGGATTCGCGCGGTGAAACGATCGCTCTCGGCGACGATGATCGGTGAAAAGTGTGCTCGATCGATTTTTTTGCATTCGCCCGCGCACCGGCCGAGTGCTCGCTTTCGTTTGTTCGTTCGTGCGTTCGCAATTGCGAACGCCGGTGCCAACGTTTGTCAATGGGCCGCGGTTCTTCTCGCCGAGCGAGACTCGGTCGCTCGTTCGCAAATAATCCGTGATCGCCGTCTTCCGTCGGCATTAGAAAACGTCGCTCGAGATCGTGGCAACGCTCGATCTCGATCGGATCATTGACACCTGTTTATTACGCGGGGAGAAGACTTCGCCGCGAGAGGTTCCTGCGGCGATTCATTCAAGCGACGCCGACTTCCCCCTCGCCACGGTGGCATCAGTCGGTTTTTTTCCCGGGGGAAATAATTCCAGCTTGCCGCCCGCTCTAATTGCGGACGTGGCAACGGTGAGACGCTTCTCAATCGGTTTCACCGCGTTCGGCGCGTGCGACATCGACGCTTTTTTCACTCGCGAGCCGAAATTCTCGCGCGCGTTATCGCCGTGCGTTATATTCGTCTCAAAGAGACACGTACTGTCGGGTTACCTTCCCGTCTCCCTCGGCTACCATTAGACTAATTACCTGGCACTTGTGCGGCACGCTGGCGTAGAATCCGTCGTGCAAGCCGTCGCACTTGAAGTCGATATCCTCCGGTATACTATTGTAGAACGGATAGTCGCTTAGATTGTAGCCGTTCAGCTCGCGCGGCAGATTCGGGTCCCATATGTAATCGATCTGCGGAATCCCCGTCAAAGTGTGGCCGGTCGTCGCGTTGGTCTCGCTCGTCGCCACCGTTGTCGTCTGGAGGGAAGCGAGTGAGTCACAGGAGATGCATTTAAGTAAAATACGTCAAGTTTTGAATTTTTACACAAAAGTGTCTGAAATACATAGGACGTCCAATATGTAAGCTCAATCTTCGAATGAAAAGGTGTTGAATTCGTCTTAATCGATCATAGGATGCATCGATTCCTCTGATAGGATGACACTCCCACACTCGAAATAATTAATACTTTCAGTCTAAATTAAATAAGGGTTTCCACCCTCACTTTATTTATAGGCCTTTGTTTTATCATAGATTAATCTAAGAACTTTTAATTTCATTTTGTTTATTGAAATCTTCAGCACGCGGATGTGCATCTGTGTCGCGTATTTTGCAAAAATAGCTTTCATTTCCTGCGGGAAACGCGGGGACGCTTCGACAGTCGACTTTGCTATAATAATAGTTTCCGTGTCGTCGAACGGAAAAGCTCGGCCGACGTAGCGGCACCGGTGGAAAAGTTATTTTACGCTCGGAAGGAGCCGCTGCGCCGTGCAATAATGCTCAGCGATGAGCGCTCGGCTACGATTCGATGATGTCACATCAATGTTTACGCGCGAAGGTGAATTTATCGCGCGCGCGAGCACGGTTTAATGTTAATTAATTTGACGCTGGCGCGAATCGATTGAAGCGCCTCGACATTTCTAGTGAGTGCGGAATACGAACGAGCCCGTCCAGCCGGATTCGCGCGATACGCGAGTTTTCCATCGCGCGGATTTGCCTCGTTGCGATTTGAAATACGATAATGCACTGTTTATCGCGTTATCGTCTAAGCGTGCTGTAATCGCTCGTTCCCGAGTTGTTTTATTAGCGGCTAATCTATGCCTTCGCACACACACATTCATTATCGCGAGGCTTCCTTCTTCTGTCTGCAAAGAGGCGCGTTGACGAAATAAGAACTCGCGCTCGTTGCACGTGTAACGATCGTCGTGACTCCTCGTGGAATCGGTTTCGCAACGATCGACGGTAAACGATCGCGTTTCGCCTGCATCGCGAACAAACAACACGAACACGGAGGGTCGAAACTCGCCGTAATTTCGGTTTAATAATTCCAATAGAAATGCAGGTAGGATACACGCAGCACCGTGTCGGTTGTATCGAGCTCGCTCCGAAATTACACCGCCGACCCCGATCGCCATTTCACGATCGTATGTCACTTTGAAAATGTAAAATCGATCGTCCATCGAAATGCCGATTTCTCGAAGTTTCGAATATCCGAATGTTCGAATTTTCGCAGTTCAAAATTTCATTATTCCAGTATGATGTATCGAAAGTTCGGAGCTCCGAATATAATTTCTAGCCCTGATACTTACTTCTGAGTTCTCATTTTCTTCCTCGGTCGTCCTGCTCGTCGTCGTCGTGGAGGTAGTCGCGATCTTGAATTTCGGCCTGGTCTTGAGCGCAGCGGAGACCGCGTGGACCAATAGTATTCCTGCAAAGTGTGCAACTTGTGAAAATACTTGTCTCGTTCTCGGGGAAAACGGTCGATTTGTGGAGATGAACGGGGGGATCTTCCCACGGCTCGGAGAGCGGCCGCGCGTGTTCCAGATAAATACGTTTCCGACCGCAGCCTCGGCCCTCGCGGGTGTTGCCGACGACGGCCCCGATGAATCGTCCGCACGTAGTCGAGGAAAGTAGTCAAAGGCCACTACGCATCCGCGGATTGCGTAAATCACGAAGAAGCGTCGGCGTTGCGAAACTTAGCACAGAGCGTGGTATGAGAGCCCGGCGTGTAAGTGTCGCAATTTTCTCTCGCCGTGAGCGCCGAGTGCATTCGGTTGGGTAATTGTTCTCAAACGGATCAAGGCTGCACCATCGATCGGTTTCCCTTCCACGTTTCGATGATTTACGATTGCACGTGGTAGCTGTCACGTTACGAGTGATAACGGTGGACCGCTTTTCCACCCTTTCGATTTCGAAAGCGCCTCTTATCGCCCTATCTCTCGGCTCAATTTTTTCATTTTCATCTTGTCCGGACGGTTATTATCATTATTATCATCGTTGTTGTTGTTATCGTTATTATTATTATTTACTCTCGCGATTTACTTCCACTCACGCTTTTCTGCTTTTACCGCCTACTTCCCCCTCATTTATATCTCATCGTTTAAAACGAGTGAAAGAAGCGGAAAGTCGTTATTAATTGCTCCAGAAACCTTGCAACTGAATTGCGATTCCCTCGAAGTAGTTCAAGGCTGTTTTGAGAATTAGCGGCTGAGAAAATTGAAACACGCCGAGCGGACGTGCTTACATCCGCGAGCGCGCGATATTTCACGCATTGTTCTTCACTCTCTATCCGAAAGACGACGGGGCTTCTCGAAGGTCGAGCGGGTTGCGATCGATAATCCCTGCTCCCGAAACGAAAGAGAAACGAGGATTAATCGATACGCTTGTGTCCGCTGGACGTTCGTTCAATCAACCGATAACACTCGGAACTCGGCGGGGAATGGTCACTAATTAAATGGCCGAGCAATAAGCTGGCAATCGGTCGTCGATTTACGACCGATCGACTTTTCCGCGTGCACGCGGAAAAGCACGGCCGACACGAGCCGCTCCACGGACCGGAAAGTGGATGTCCTCGAAGTTGATGTTGAAAACGCGCGGGGAGGCCCGCGCAACGGAATCCATACTTTTCCAGGCCGCGCGATCGATAACGAAAGCGGCGCGCCGGCCGGCGTTGCATAAAAATGAATTATGGGAACGCGCTCGCATTCCGTTTGTGGGAAATGTTAACGTGGGCGTGCAGCCCTCCCATGCACGCGGTGCGGTAAATCGTTTTCATGACGAAACCGTCGCCGCCGTTACCACCGGCAGCACGCCGGCGGTGTATAAACAAATTGCCTCATCCGATTGTCCGCGGGGCGACGCGCGAGTCCCGATCGAATGGGAATGCCCTGACATTTTCCTCCCTTCTTCGTCTCTTCGTCCAGTTCTTTCGAAGGGCGTGGACCCATCGCCGATGATCCTCGTTAAGGAATTACACGCGCTCGCGTGCCTTCGTCGGTAGTTACCGGGACGTATGAAGACGTCGGCGGGCGGAATCGTGCGCATCGATTTTCAAGACCTCCGATCGAACGTACGTCACGTTATCCGCGAAAATGTCAGAAAGCGTTCGAAATGTTAACACACGCGTGACCGATCGACGGGTGTTGCGGGGCGGAACAGGTCGGCGAGCGTCGTGCGGCTCCAATTTTTCCCGGCGTCCACTCCGGTTTCCCCTTATCGGACGATCAGGTATTTCCATCACGCCGTGGAACGAGCGTCGTTCCATTAATGATCCCCCCGATCGCGTCGTCGTGAAATTTTCGGACCTCGGCTTTGTCGCCGGCTTTGAAGCCTCGGGACAAAGCGAACGATCCTCTTGACATTCACGACGCGAGGTCTCCCTCCGCTCCGTCGGAGCCTTCTTCTTCGCAAAAGCGCCTTTGCAAATCGCGCGGTCGCACGCTCGCGGTATGAATACCAAACGCTGGCCGGCGGATAAAAAGATTGTCATCTCTCGTCCGCGAAGCGCCCGGCTCGCCCTTCGGTATTTGTTCGGCATTTCTTTCTTTTCTTCCCCCCTCGACGGTCCGTAAAACCTGTTTTTTATGGGCTTCGATTTAACATTAATGATCGCGCGCGAGTGAAATACGGGAGAAAAGTGCAAGCGTCGCGCGCTTGCTTCGGAAATTAATTGGCCGGCCTTTCGTTTCGCGAGAGGCGGACGACCGAGTCGTCGTGTTCCTTTAAAACAGCCGTCGACACTCTCGAGAGTTCGGGCAGGAGTTTCGCGAGATCCTTGCGACTCCCTCGTATTATTCAACCATTCGATCCTGCGCGCGCTCATCGCGAAAGGTCCTCGGAACGCGTGTCCTTTTTCTTTTTCTTCTGTCTTGTTTGCACGCTGTACGAGCAGTCGCGAATCGATCTATCGTGCGGGTAAAATTCCCGGGACGGGAAGGAAGGTCGTCCACTGTCTCTTCGGCATTCCTCCGCGGCCGTGGAAAGTCCAAAAATACTGAGGACGCGACGTCACGGGGGACAGCGAGAAAGAGGGAGAAAGAGAGAGAGAGAGAGAGAGAGAGAGAGAAAGGCAGGCTTGTGGAGGATTCTTTCTTCTCGCGGGGGGCGCGTGATATAAACAGGATCTCGAGAAATAGTAAAAATCGAGGAAAAGGTATCGGGGAGTCCCGGCGACGACGTCGTCCTCCGGGAATTGCGATGCTTACCGTACAGAGCGAGCAGCAGCCATCGTTTCTCCCGCATGTTGGCACTGCAACAGACAAAGTGATTATCACGCAATTATTAATGTTATTTTTTCGCATCAATTTATTATCAATGATATTTATTATTCTGGCGTCGAAACTTTAATGTTTCTAGGCGCGCCATGTAAGTATATTGTACAATTTTTCAACTTCGTTTCTGGTTAACCTTTTCAATGCTATCTTATATTACGTTTAAAATGTATCTCTGTATATGCAAATATATGTACGTGCATATATTAGCAACGTGTTCTTACCCATTGTAAAGAAAAAGGTATCTCCCGTTTAATAAATAAAGAACTAAATAATAGCCAAATAAGTAATATTTAATAAATGAGCAACTAAATTATTGCGAACGTAATTAAATTCTTGTGCGTGACGCGAAGCGAATTCGAGTCCCTCGATCTTCCTCGCGACTTGGAAGCGAAGACTCGAATTTCTACAGAAATTATAGCAATTAGGAGAGAGTTGCCCAATTCGTACCAGTCACCTAAAATTTAGTTCCTGAATCGCACCTCTCTCATCATTTTTTCTGTAATTATTGAATATAAGCGCGACTCAGTGATGTAAATATTATTATCATTATTACCATTTCCATTTATTAACGCGTAAAAAATCTGTTGGTATACAGAATAAAGGAAATTATAAAAGTTTATACACAGAGTGACGCAAATGTGGAATTACAAATTAAAGTAGCAATTGAGTGCAGTTAAGACGAGAGAACACGAAATAATTAACCTTAAAAGAGCGCAAAGCGTTATGAAACAGGTCAACGGATCTCGAGTATCGCTTGGACACCATACAAATTCGATTAATACAATTGCATTACCGCGCTCTGTACAATTAAACTTTACATAAAATAAATAGAAAATGAATAATACAACTAAAATTTGAACAAATTGCACCGTATTTTCCGTGTGATATAAATACTTTAGAAATACTTTAACCCGTGCCAAAATTCTACATTAAGTCTACATTAAGTCTATTTAATTCTACATCAAATCTTCAAAGGTCTTCTATTGTGCTCCCTTTGATGCTATAAATGGGAAATTCCATTTTTCCCATTTGACGACTTAATATGTAGAATTAAAAATTTCCCCCCGGGAGATATAAATTCCCTTTGCAGCATCAAAGGAACATCATTAGCACCCCTTCGATGCTACAAATGAAAAGTTATTTCCATTTTCTCCACTCGAAAACATAATGTGGAACTAAAATTTCGACTCGGGTTACTCATAGTCAAATCTTATATTCAAGGCCGTCTTAAGTTCATCTTCAGACGCTCCGCAACCAATGAAACAAGCCGTACAGCATCTGAAGACGAATTCGAATATAAGATCCACGAATATCGACCTTGATGTAGAACCAAGTAGACTTAACGCAGGACTAAAATCCCAAGATCGGGAAGTAAATTTTAGAAATATGATTTTGCCAATTCGCCCCTAATTGCGATCGATCGTTGAACGTGAGTCACGTAAGAATCCTCCCGGTCGGGGCTCTCGAATTCCCTCTCGTCCCGACGACGTTATCGGGGACGGCATTACCTCCTCCTCATTTCTCTCTTTATCACGTCGGCTTTTACGCAACGCGTCCTAGATTCGCAAAGAGGTCTCCGCGCTTGCGACACCGTGAAATTCCGCACAGGGTGTCGCGCGGCGATCGCACGGCACTGCGATCGGCGAGCATAATCGAAGCCCGGTGGTTCAGCGTGGCCGCGTAGACGGCCGCGCGTAGCGGAGGTGCCCGAGCATATGGGAACGGATAGGGAACTTTCTCTGTGCTGTCACCACTGCTAACCATATAATGCAAGGATAATGTGGGTGTTATATAAATGCACGAGCACGTAATATCGGGTGTGACTTTGTGCGAATGGCTAATTATCGTCGGGGAGCTCGTTCGCGCTTCCACCCGGGCTCTTTCGGAGGAGACGCCCGATAATTGCGACAATATCGGTTCAATAAGCTCGTCGCGCTAGACAATCACGCGAGCCTACGGTAGTCGGGTTTTGCCTCCGGGTGTATACCTCCATCCTTTCCCCGGACCTTGAATTCCCGTTGCCGCGGAATTTTCGGTTTCTTGCCGCGATCCCGCCGGTCACCGGCGATGCAATCGATTCAGGATCGCAAATTTCCTCCCCTCGCTTATGGACAGCGCGACCTTGATTCTTTCTTTTTCCTCGCCCATCGCGCCTACGCGTTTATACTCGCGTCTCGCGTCTCTTGAGATTTTGTTTTTACACTCGCCCCGGTGAAAGTTAGTCCGGCGAGCTCTCGGCTCCGTGTTAAATTAGTGTTATCGAATTAGATAACCAAACTTGGACTTGGCGCGGTTACAGACTGTGCGAGTGTGCTCGCGTTCGTGAACGTGTTCACGTTCTAAGCTGTCAATAAGATTTCCACCGAGATCGCGGATTACTTCCTCTCCCCCCTCCCTCCTGTGTAGCAACGATTTGATCGCGAGAGAGAGAAGGAGAGATTCGAGGGACGCGTGAGAAAATAATCGGCGTCTGTGATTCTCTCGGCCGATGCGAATTGACGATTACGATTTCAATGGGCGCGCGCGCGCGCGCGTAACAAGACTTTGAGATTCCGGTCGGCCTGCCGGCCGTAATTAAGCGGAAAGGCGGCGGCGCGTGGTTTTCGAACGTAAACACACACACACGCGCGATTTTCTACGGTTCTTCTCGGTTTCCGCGCAAAAATGTGGAGCGCCCGAGCCAATCGTAAGCGCCGCGCGGCGCATGCTCGCATTAATTAAGCCGCGCTATCGCGCTCCAGTTCCCAGACCGATCCTTATCGCCTCTGTAAAAGCAAGGAAAGAAAGAGAGAGGATGCCACCCGCCGCGCGGTGGCCGCACAAGACCGCGATTATTCGGTTACACAAGTTTTCGTAATTGTTCCTTTTGTTTCGCGTCACAACGAGCGAGCGAGTTCTCACGGGCGCGCGGGGAACCATGGGAAGTGAGCCCTCCTCCCCGCGACTGATTACAAATTACTCTTATCCGGAAGGTGGGCAAATTAGAGCCGAGCCGGATCTCGAAACGCGATACATCCCGCGCGCGCGGTCACGCTTTCGATGCCGCGGAATACGGTGTATCATTCGTCCCTCGTTTCGCAACTTAATCGCGTGCCGATGCTTCGTTTATCGCCGATCGCTTTCCTCGCCCTCGCGCGCGCGCGTTAACGCACAATTGGCGCGATTTCTTTTTTTTTTCTATCGATTATCGAGCATTTCCCTCGCGCGACTTCCTTCGCGCGCCCGAGAAACGTGTCACCCGTAACGTTACCTTACGGTAACGTTACGTTATGTTACGACACACGCGACTAACGGTCATCCGTCGCGATCGTGAAAGGTCACCGGAAATGACGGCCGGTGCGACCAGTCGTTTTGGTTTCTCGCATCAGGCCCCGCGGCTGTTTGTGTCTGCGCGAAAGCCGCTTTCGGCGAGCGATTTCCGCGGGAATCCGCGAGACATCTCGGAAGGAAGAATTTCCATCTTTCCTCTCTTCTCTTCTCTTTCTCTCTCGCACGATGCAATTATTTACGGTAGTGCTCTGGGATGCGTTTTTCCGGCTGCGACGGACGAAATTCGTCGCGAGTGGGCGTCGAGCAAGGCGTTGGTTATGAAACCCGATAGCCTTCAAAAGCGGAGCGCACAGAAGCGGCCGGGCTTTCATTTCCTCATGGGCGCCGCTACTTCGAATACCTCTTTCCACTCCTTTGCATTGTCGAATAAATTCTTTTCTCTCTCTCTCTTTCTTGACGGCGTGAAAAAGAGAAGTAGCTCCCATAGCTAAAAACTAGTTCCCACAGGTTAAAACGAGCTGTCCACGTAACACAACTGAAATTTAGTTACCAGACTTAATTTTTAGCTGTGAGTGCCAATCCTATTTCTCCGTGTGCAACTGTAGTCGTATGAATTTAGCTCTCACAGCTGAAAACTCTGCTCTGGTAATTAAATCTCATCTGTGTTACACGGACAGCTAGTTTTCCGTTCTGGCAATTAATCTTTTTCTTCCGTGTAGTTAATTCTCCTTGTCCCTGTATCCAGTTTTTAGCTCTCACAGCTAAAAACTAGATCCGGTGACTAAATATCAGTTGCATTATACAAACGGCTAATAATCCCTTTTTTCCATAGAGGAAAACTCGTGCATCGATGCCGGGCTGCAATGCGGTGAGAGGAAACGTTAATTGAGAGATGCGATCACTCACACACGCACGCACACACGCGTATACATGCGGCGACGCGGAATCGCAGCACAGAAATTCTCCGCGTTTTCTCTGGTTTTTTTCTCCTTCTTCCGGAAAATCATTCCCGCGCGTCGTTAACGCGCATTACTGAAATCGCCGCGAACAGCGAAGGCGAGATTACTCCATGATGTGTGTGTGTGTGTCCGCAACGGTAAACATTCGAACGGTTTCTCCGGTGAATGCAAACCGATACTTTGCGCATAATTAATCGCGAGTTGATAACTCGGCGCAGCGCCGCACGGAGCCGAAAATTTACGTAACGACCGGCGATTGACATTTAGATTCGCGATATACCGGCGGAGGTAGCAATTCGCAAAAATACGCTTTACGGGTGTCCTCGAGCCGCTCTTGTGAAATTTCACGAGCACGGGCGGACGAGCGACGCATGTTTATCGCGCGTTATATCAAGGTAATGGGTTTTAGAAGATGAAAAACGGCGCGAATCATTCCTTTTTCGAAGCGGCGCGACCGCAGTAGAGTACGCGTCGAATCGGGTCAGGCGCGCGTGACAACGCCCGCCGTATCCACTTTAAGTAGACACAGACATTCGTGGCGATCCGCCCGCACGGTGGATCGGTCACGAATTCACGACGTGCCGATCGCGTTATCCGCACCGGAGGGCACTCGTTACGTCGAGCTGTGAGCTTGTCCCGTAGGTAGAAAGCGCGCGATTGTGCAAGGCGAACGTATGCGGAGCAAACGTTAATAATAATCGCCGTGCACGCGGCAAGTATCCTGCGTAAATTACGCAGGTCGCTAT